ACTGCGGCGCCGCCCTACAAATGTTTCGATGCTCCTGCAACCCTCTTCCGGCGGACACTGCGGTGGCCGACCTCTGGGGCAACTCGCGGAAGGGGCTCGAAACACTTATAGAACACTGCCGCTTCTTTCTGCGGAGTCGCACGGAGGATAGAGCCGGCAGTGCGTAATAATACTACTAATAATACCCCTACCGCCAACATTAATCATAATATTAAACATAATCATTACAAAATCAACAGAAACTAAAAAACGAGAAGAATAAAAATAAAATAAAAATAAAAATAAAAATAAAAATAAAGAAATAAAAAATAATAATAATAAAATAAAATAAAAACAATAATAATAATAATAAAACATAAATAAATAAAACACCCTTCTCCCTCTCGCTGGTGCGGCTTTGGATCGCACTGGTAATTGCCAGTGGGGGGATGATATCCCTCCACCGGTGCACTCCTGAACTCGCAGCAAGAGGACCATCACGTCCAAGAAGAGCAAGAAGGCCCCCAAGGCCCTGGCGCGGCGACGGGCGTGAAACACGCACAGCGCCACGGTGCCCGGGCGCCAGCGGCGCTGCGCGGGATCCGCCAGTTCCAGCGCTCCACGGACCTCCTCCTGCAGAAGGCGCCCTTCCAGCGCCTGGTGCGCGAGGTGTCGGGGCGCAGGAGGCGATGGAGTCGTACGTCGTGTCGCTGCTCGCTTCCTCCTTCTCGTGCCGCGTTTTGAGCCGCGCACTCATTCTCGCCCTGCTCCGGCGGGGTTGTGTGGAGGTCAACCCGGGCCCTCCTCGACGGAGTCCGAGGGAGCAACTCGTTCAGTGGATGAACGAGATGCGGCGGGAGCAAGCCCGCCTCGCTCGCCAGATGCAGGAGGCGGAGAGGCGGCTCCTGGCGCTCGACCTGGAGGCTCGCCGGTCGCGGCAACAAGCTCGGGCAGCTTTGCCTCGGACGGCCACCTTGACGAAGGACGGACCTTGGAAGTACGTGCGGGACACCCGCGGGACACAGCGGGGGCTGCTGCGCTCGGCTACGCCTCACCCCCGGCAGCAGGGCGGCGGCTGCCTGTGTCGAAGACGCCGTGGCTCGACGCCGCCCGCACCCGTCCCCCCCCCCAGCCCCCGGCGCCAACACGTCGTACCAACA